CTTTTCTCGCCAAACTGCACAGCTACTCTGTATGACTCAAGGGCCCTATGGCAGCAGATATATACAACAGTTCACGCATGCATCTCATGACTGCGGTTCACAATCAAGCAGGATTCACATTAAACTTTAATGGTTCTTTCAATGGTTCCATATGAGGGTCTAGGCCTTAAGGACGAGGGTTTGCGGCTCAACGACCATATACTGACCAAGATTTGTAGGATTAGGCTAAAGCGCGCTTACTTTCTAGCGTCATGTGGTCCTAACTAAGCCACTGCAGGCCCTGAATGTGCAGCAAGAGAAGTATAGGGTTTAGGGTTTAGGGTTTAGGGTTTTAGGGTTTATAACCCTAAACCCTAAACCCTATAGGGTTTAGGGACGGACTGGTTGTCTTCTCTAAACCTCATCTAGATCATTGACCTTCCCGAAAAGAGGGGTTTAGGGTTTAGGGTTTAGGGTGACAGACGTCTGCCATAAGCTTGCATTTGGAACCTATGCAGATCTGATACAGCTTACCCTAAACCCTAAATGCGGAAACCGTAGACCCCTAATTAAACCTTAAACCCCTAAACCATTAGCCGAGCAACAAAGGATTGTCGAGAAAATCTTCTGAATCGAAGCTTCCGAAGGGATCCTTGGCAATTTGCTTTTAGGTTTTAGAACAGAGGGTCTATTTAGGGTTTCCCTAAACCCTAAACCCTAAACCCCTAAACGGGTTTATTAAGGGCTTAGTATTTGGGGTTTAGGGTCGATTCAGGGTTTTGGGTTTGGGGTCTAGGGGACCAGGTTTGGGGGGCCTTAGGTTGCACGTGAGGGATCAGCGGACCTAGCAAGCAGCTTATCAGGTTTAGGGTTTAAGGTTAAGGGCCTTGCAAGCAGGTTTAGGGTTTAGGGTTTGGGGTTTAAGGCTTGGGACTTATACGCAAAAACAAGAAGATAAATCTTATCCAGAACGACCCAATCAGGGCACTGGTAACCGGCCAATGAATCGAACAACTTGCGGAGCTCACAGATCTTGCGACTAAACCTTGAACCTTAAACCCTCAACCTCAAACCCTTAACCCTGAATCATAAACCCCAAACCATAAACCCTAAACCCTAAACCTATAAATCTGGTCTTCATTGGGTTTCATGTTTGGGGTACACAGTAATTTGGAACCTTAACAACTGGAATAGGGTTGCATAGGGGATACTACAAAGGGGTTCCTTTGAGGGTTCTATAAGGGCTACTATAAGGGCTTAGGGTTTAGGGGCCTTGATAATTAGAATAGGGTTTTGGGGGATATTAGACTATAACATTATGATAAAGAGCCCCCAAAATGAAATAGGTGGTTTCTCAGGCCCCTATATTACCTCAGCTCTACACGGATAGTGGCTCATTCCTCGGACATCCTCCTACAGGTGTCAGCAGCCTGGTCTAGGATGGCTGCTTTAGGGTTTAGGGGTTTAGAGGTTTAGGGTCTAGGGTCTAGGGGTTTAGTTTAGGGATTAGGGTTTAAGACGATGCATGTATGACGTGGCGCATAGTTTCGGGATCTGGTGAGTACGCGTGAGGCTGTTTAGGACCGCTGGCGAGTGTCCTTCTCTGCTTAATTTACTACCGGGATACGAATAACAAACGTCGTGCTGCATGTCTATCGATAGAGATAGACAGATAGATAGACACATTGATAGTACGAGCGGTAGATGTGCGCATGTGTGACTCGCACTGAACTGTGTGCGTGTACGGAAATCTGAAACTACTGTAAAACACAGCACCAACCCAATTTGGGACCCTATACTACTAAGGGCTCTTTATAGGAACCCCCATTAAAGGATCTACTTTTTGGATCCTCCCGGGGGTCTGGGAAAGGGTGTTTGCCATGAGCCCTGAGTGAACACCGCTCTATGTCAGGACGGCCTTTTCAAAATATCCCAACGTAGATATAGTAGAAGCCCAATAGTTGGAAACCCA